TATATATATATATGCACTACCATTCAATGGTTTGGGGTAAATTTTTGCCTGAAAGAAAAACTTTTATTAAGCAATGATGCATTAAATTTGTTTAGTAAAAGTTTTCAAATAAATGCTGTTCTTTTGAAATTTATATTCATTAAAGAATACCAAAAAAATGGTTTCCACTAGTGTTAATTTTCGTTAAATTAATCTCTTCATTGTGGAAGCGCAGATAATGATCTGAAAACACCAACAAACAAGTGCAGAATTAACTCTGGTTTCCACAAAAATATTAACTGTTCAATATTGATAAGAAATTTTACTTGAATGTCATATCTCTGATAGATCGATTAAAAGCTTAATGTTAAAGCTTACATTTAAAATGAATAATTTACTGAAAGTCTGGTCATTCATCAGTTATGTCCTAAATTATAAGCAGTAATATCACAGAAAAAAATGTCATAATTCTGAAGTTCTTTAAAATGGAGACTACCATTACAATAAGTAGACCAGGCAATATTTAAAAAATATTAATACAACTACACAAATCAATCTTTAGATTAAACTGACTGATTATGGTGTTTAAAGAAAAAGTCTCACCATACACTCCTCAGCGCTATGATCTTAAACAGAATGTACAGGAAATTGTCCAAATATAAGGATCCCTTTCCATTATTGTAACACCACAGACATTGAGGACATGAAAAGGTCATTTTTCTTCAAATATCACAAAAGTATTTTCATGGCAATATAATTATTGTATTGTGTAATTGTATTTAATTTAGCATGCATAATATTTATTTGAAATAAAAATGTTAAAAATGTATATTGTTGCAAAGTTAATACCACATGCGAGCACAAATAAAGAATGGCCTAATATGATGGCACCAGCTTTAGGGTAGAATTGTTCATAAATTTTCTCAGAAAAACATGATTTGCAGTTTCCGTAATAAGCTAGAAACATGCAACAAGGACACATTTGTAGGACAAGCAGCCATTAAATATATATTTAAGGAAAACTGTATTGAAAAAAATAAGCCATTGATTAAAAGACTGATTGGTTTTTGTTGCAGTTAATGAAAAAAATCAATATCTTTTATCCATTTTATCCAGCACATTGTGTTCATTGTCCTATTGAGCTTTTGAATTTATGATTTGGTTGTCTCAACCTGTCCTTGACAATGTCCGTGTTCTCCATTCCGTCCTTTTCTCCAGATATTACCACTTCCTGTACACCAACTTCCTGCCAAATAGCTTGAAGAGCATGGTGGACCAACTGGCCAACTGTGAGGACATCCTCATGAACTTCCTAGTGTCCGCTGTCACCAAGCTGCCGCCCATCAAGGTCACACAGAAAAAACAGTACAAGGAGACCATGATGGCTCAGGTAAGTGAGAAAAAACCGCACTGCAGATAATTAAACCTACATGAGCTTGAGCAGATGTCTAATGTTGTGCATCTGTTCCTCTTAGTCATCTCGAGCCTCGCGCTGGGCGGACCCGGACCACTTTGCCCAGCGGCAGACCTGCATGAACAAGTTCGCCAGCTGGTTTGGCGGCATGCCA